AGTCTATAATATCGGCTAAGTAGACAAATTATTCATACCTAAACAATACGAATTAGAGGTATATTTCCAACATACTGACGGTCCGTAGAGTCTACTTTATGAGTTTGCAGTGAATGAATTCATTAAATTATGTTTCTATTTATGCTAACTCAACTGTAAATAAGCTTCCATTTATCCTGACTCAACCTCAACTTGTGAATATACAGATAATGTTAGAATAGGGCAATTATTTGAGAGCGCAGAGGTCAGAAACACTATGAGTATCATTCATAGACTATTACCTCAATAAAATAGAAATATTACTACATCGTTAAATCTGTAAAAAAATCTGTTTTAGAAAACTTCAATTTTTAATCATTAGTGAAGTTCCCTGTGTAACAAGACAAACACTCTACAAAGTACATAAATGCTTCTTCCGGACGAAAGCCAAAGGGAAATACAGAAATACGTGTGGAGATCGAAAATGGCCGAGGATATAACAGATGAAGCAAGTTAAACGCTGGGATATTAAAACCCTCTTCGAACATATACGTTTTAAAATTTATGAATAAGAATTACAAGTCATATTTTAGTTTCCTCATAAATTAGATCTGTAAAAGAATCTCAAATGACTAAAGAATTAATATTACTTACATAACAGGCTTAGAACAAAAAACAATATGAAGAATTTAAGTAATTTTACAGCTAAATGAAGGGAAACCGTAAGGAAATACTTGTTCTAAATCTTTTCAATGGGAGATTGTCATACATAATATAAGTCAATCATTTTTAAGCTTTATTAGCAGCAAGGCAGTAGAATACTGTAATATTAGGAACAGCTTTGTTACATTATTCGGTGTATCGGAAGGGCAAACATTTTCATATTTCCTCTTCTCTTTCTGTCGTTCTGAAAAATGGACTGATATGCGTAATCAGCACAATGTCCAACGGAATAGATTAATGGGAAAAGGTAAAAAAGGAATAAACATCTTGTAAGCTGTAGTATCGAAACGCAATTTATTACCCTTAATAAAAATATCAAAGAAAGAAAAAAAGTTAAAAATTCAATTTCATGAGAGCTAAGTGGCGAGTTTCGTAAAATTCACTGATAAGATGTCTCTTAAGTTGCGTTTTTGCTATTAGAAAGTGCGAACACTTCACAAAAACAGTGAACATAGAACAGGTGAAAATTGTTTCTATCAAGTTGGTTTATGAATAATATATGCGAATATTAGTAGAACAGACCGAAGATGGTTTTCCCATGCTCAGAATTTCTTAATCTGTAATTCGCGGTACACAGGTGGCCCTCTGTGCTTTCTTGTGATCCTGCTAGGTATACAGAAAACACAAAACATAAAATTCAGATTAACTGTGTATATCATTCTCTAGCTGAAAATCGTTGGAGGTCCGTTAATTACAGATGGCAAATGTTTATCATTTCCCAAAACTGCCATTTTATGAATACCTAAAGACTTGCTATTGTAGTCTTACCAATAAAAGAAGGACTAAAGACTTCTAACTATGGTCCATATCATCACCATACATCCAAATTTAAAACAGCTATATAAGAAATAGGAGGCTCATCCATCTTATTAATTTGAGCGTCAACATTTATTAAATTTTTAGTTGATAAAGATTGTACACACTCTGACAGACTTTAATTAGTAAAAGCAAGCATAAGTATTTTTCGATTTAAGTAGTTATTCTATACAATTGTAAAAATTAAAAAAAAAAAATAATACAAAATCTGAAAGCTTTCAGATTTTACATTACTCCCAAAGGGGCGTTTTTTTAACGTTTTGTGTGCTACTTTTATTTATTAAATATCACGATTTTCGCACTGAAACCATAAAATTCAGTTCAGGAATATCACAAAGCAATTTCAAAATGAGCATATCTTTAGAATTTCCGATACACAGTCTACAGTGTTTTCGTTAAGTTTGTTAACATTCGTTAAAGTTTTACAAAATATGAAATAGATAATAAAACAAATTCCAAATTCGGGCTTTACGGAGAAAAACACGAGAAAGTAAAACAATGCTAAGGCAGAAGACAGAACAGAAACAAAGTAAAACATAAATTTAGCGAAGTAACAAATTTGTAGTTGGAGTAGATTTTGGACAAGACTTTGTCGATTTCGAGGTCAAGCAGTACAGGTCCATCTTCATCGGGAGTAAAGAAATCGGAAACGAAGGGAAAGACAAGGCTGTATTTATAGCCAAAAGGAATAAAGCGAACGAGAAAGTAGCGCTATCGGTTGACAGAAATGACAACGAAAATTGAAAAATTAAGTTAATAGAATTTTAAAAGTTTGAGGAAGAACTGGATCAGTCTGGATTAAAATCATTAACTAAGAAAGATAAATCTTTGTGAATATGAAAAACTTGAACCAATTCCTATTAACCAAAGGAAGAATCTAAGGAAGAAGAAGATAACTTTCGCAGACACTAAATTATGATTAAACTTCTAACTGTGATTAGCTATCGGAGACTTAAAGATCTCGACAGTGACTTTTTTTGGCATAAGCCGAAAACTATTTAGTCAGTTGGTATTCCAGTCACAAAAGGCAGTCGATGCGAAAGTTAATATCTTAAAAAGAGGTAGATAAAGGTTATTTTGATTACTGATAAAATATAATATATATTAAAAGAAAATGGAAAAACTTTGTGGTACTTCAAATTAAAGATCAATGAATCGATACACATCATTAGGCATGAACAATAATCAGCACAGAAGATAATTTGAAGCTAAAGATGAAAGTTTGGGAAATATATTTTCCAGGGCTCTAAAAGTTAAACTAAAATGTAACAATTAGATTAACTACCTAAAATCAAAAATCTGAGAATTCATGAAGTTCAAAATAAACAAGCCTCAGATAAGAGAACGAAGAATGTTATACCACTCTGTTGGCATGTCTGTAAGCAAGCCGGTTGCCAGAATCAAAGATATGAATACCAAAGATGACATGGATATTTATAATGTCTTTCAGCACTGGGGTACTTAAAATAGTTTCGAGCCGAAATCCTCTCGAGAGCTTGTAATGCGCGATGTGAAGATAGATAGAACATTTCTGAATCGTCTCTGATGAGATCCAGTGTTGTCCTTCAAAACTAGGGGGGGGGGAACTGGACAAAAATCGAATTATGCCTCGGCGTCAGGTCACAGCCTCGGCGAAACGATAGGCGCTTACTGTCTGTCAACTAATATGAATTCAAATAACGGAAACAAGAAGCAATAACAAAAAAAGAATGTTGGGGCTGTAGGAGAGATTACCATTTAGTGACATGACTTAAGCATATATGAAAATAACACACAGTATCATTATACAGGGTAATGTTTAAGTTATTTTAACCTGAAAAACTATTAATTTCCATGATTTTCTTTCCAACTTCAGCTGTGAGACAGTACTTGCATTTATTTAAACAATAAATGAAATTATACTAATTGGTAATCTTTGAGAAAACATGTATAGATGGGACGATTTTTATTTAACTACTATGATAATCAATAATAACTTATTTACATAATACAAAAATTATATTTAATGTTGTTACTATATTAATAACGTTTTCTAAAGGACGTAATGGGCCACTAATGGATAAATTCGCAATACGTAGAACACTAATAATTTGAATTGAACTCATACCTAGAAGAAGGAGCTATAGCGTAGCCAGTTTCGTTGCTTTCCCCGTATGAAAGTAGTAACAAGCAATTTCCCTCAGAAATATCCTTCACGAAGATGTCCCTTCCCTTAGAGAGATAACTCTTTAGCAGAAAGTCATATCAAATAAATAAACAATGAAAGACATTGCCAGTACGTGGAGATAAAACAAGAGGTCATCTGGAGATAAAAGCAAAAGATTCAGCTCCCTTGAAAGTTACGTCTTTACAGCTCATTCTTGTTTCTGAAACAAATTCAGTAAAACTATAAAATATGAAATTCATGGGGAAAACAAGCATAAAAACAGTACATGTAGTCGATCTGCATTTATTTTCTGGAAGAAAATAAAAAATGAAATATTAACAACTTTTCTAATATGTGTCTAACATATTACCAAAATTATAAAATACTCCTTAAGTCAGACCTTGAACTTAATTGTGAAAACATTTTAAACAAAAATTCGCTTATCCAAGATGAGTAGTTTGCCTGCTAAATTGAATACAGTAAAATACGCGACGGATTTTGTCAAAGGGAAAGGATGTCTTTGTGTGGGATTTCGAAAGAGACCATAAGCTGTAACACTAAAATATTCAAAACCTTGAATACTCAAACAAATAGTTTTCATTCTGGTGAGGATTACGAAAAAGAGAAATTATAATAATGGTTTAAATCATAATAATTGCTAATTAGCATAAAAAGTTACAAATTTATCTCAGATTTTAACGTGTGAAGAAATTCGCTTGGTTTTGCAATGCGAAAACGAATTCTTACACAGGACACTATTAGTAAGGGCTTTCTCTATGCAGGAACTTTGCTATGTGAGGCACCACAGAAATATAAACATTTTAAATTTCATGTTAAACGATATTTTTATTTTTTAATACTCACACATTTAAATCATAATACTATAAATTTGGTACGTGCATTTTTTCAAATGACACTTTTTCAATAATGAAAAATGTGATACAAATGAAAAAAGTGATACTTTATAAATTACAAGTGTTATTTCATTTATGTCACTCAGATGAAATTACAAGTGAAAATTCTCAATACATCTTTTTATGAAATTCCATTAAAAATAACACTGCTGCCGTAAATTAATTCTTTATGAAAAGAGGTTTGACTTAATATAATATATAAAGCTATATTACATGCTTTTAAATATAAAATTAAAGAACCAAACAGAGCTCAAACCTGAAAATCAAATTATTCACTATTTAAAAAATATATTTAAAATATTTATTTGTAGTCGAATGTATTGCTGATTCTCGTGTAATATATTAATGTAAATGTGCGTATTTAATAGCAGTTTTTATGAGCATGTTATGAGTTTTATTAACTGCAAATCTTATTTCAACAGGCACCTCTCATCGTGATTCAAAGTCCAATCACGAAGATTATAATGACAATAACAACGGACCTTCCTCACTTCTGAACAGCAGTAGCAACGGCAGCTCTAACAAGAAACAATGTCGTCACGCTAAATCCGTCCGCTTGAGCATCAACGCCAGAGAAAGACGCAGGATGCACGACCTGAATGACGCCCTGGACGAGCTCCGCTCTGTCATCCCCTACGCCCACTCTCCTTCGGTCCGCAAGTTAAGCAAGATCGCCACCCTCCTTCTTGCCAAGAACTACATACTCATGCAGGCCAACGCCCTGGAGGAGATGCGACGAATCATCTCCTTCATGAACCAGGCGGGAGTGCCCCTGCCCCCCGCCGCAGCCGCTGCTGCCGCCGCCGCTGCATCGCTCCCGGCACTCTCTGCGCCCTCAGACGGGGCTTATCCTCAGCCGTCACCAGGAGGAGGGGTGCCGCCCCCGCCCCCGCCACCAACGGCAGCAGTAACCTACGGACTAAGCCCCAGAGGTGCTGGAGACAAAGATCCTGGAGCCCCAGTACTTTTTCCTGGAGCTGCATGTAATCAGTGTGATAGGGACAAACCTTGATATGCGAGAACTTTAAACTGTAAAAAAAGACTTGAAATGCGTGTTAGAAAAGAATCACCTCTGTGAAAAGACTCGTAATGCGCTGAATGTTTCACTTTCAATGGTGGCTTGTAAAATTACGATTGAAATTTATTAAGGAACTGATAAATAAAATGTTAGCAGTCATATAAATCATTCAACTGGTTATTATTATTTAATGACATGGAATTAGAACGGACTCGCATTGATTAGATAAAGACTTAATGCAATCATTAAAATGAGTTACATTGTTGAGAATGCCGAAAAGCAATATTTATTTCTGTCTCCAATCAGAGAAAGACCAAGTGAGATTTCCAAATCCTCTGTTGATCGTATGAGGTGTTGTGTTAAACAGGGAGCAATGTAAGAAATTAAAGCTAACAAAACAAATGTAATCGGTAACAGTAAATTCCATGACATGAGCACAGAATTTATAAGAAATATATCCATGGAAAACATTCTGTAAATATGTTATTTATTGATTTAAATAATCTCTAGAAAAAAATGATTTTATTTTTATAAAAGGCAAAGAAAATATAAATTTGAAAGTATTCAAAACACTATAAGAACATTTGCTTGATTAAAATAACTTTTTAATTCAGTAAAATATATTTCTCATTCCTATCTTAAGTATTAGTTGTTGAAAGAAATATGTTTTAAGTTTTCGCTTTTGGTTTTTTGAGTTTGGTAAAATATCGTTTTTTTTTTTTTTTTTTTTTTTTTTTTTTTTTTTTTTTTTTTGAATTAGTTCAGTATAGAGAATAAGATTAGGAGAACAATGGTCAATCTTTCTTGCTATTTCTTGCTTAACGATGATATTTTTACATTTTCACACATGTCATCTTCAAAAGAACAAGAGTTTGGAATATGATTTCTACTGAATGGTTGACTGGAGCTCATAAAGCAGACATTCCATTGAATTCAGATGAAGTTGTTACCTGATTAAGAAAAGGTATTACTGTATCGAAAATGATGCAAACATTAAATGTAAGTTTTTGCCAATAAAAAGGTACATTTACTGATCAATTTAAATTTTTCTTCCCTAAACATGATGCATAACGCCTAGATATTAGCTATTTATTTAAAAATTGTTGGAGTCTTTGTAATGGTTAATTTCGTTTAAAAAATGAACAAAAAAGATAATTTGGTTGAGATTGCTTTGTGTATCCATATTATTGAGCAAGCCCTCCAAATGAGCGGGCTGTAAGTTCTATGTGCACCTGAAAAGAAAATGCATAAAAACATTTCAATATGAATGAAATCAGTTCATTCTTCCCAAGCAATAGCCAATTCATAAATACTTCATTTGTTGCCATACCAGGAAACAAAAAAGTTTGACACTTCAAGTTAAATATGTATTTGTGTATCCTCAGTAGGTAATTATTTCACAAGACACTCTATTAAACTACATGCTACTTTATTATCTACAAAACACATTATCACTCGCAGATTACACGTATATCTACAACTACTCGCATTCCAGTCTTAGTTCTGGTTTACTACTACTTCGCGCGCTTGCGATACTTGGCGCTGCACCAGCTTTAAGTCCGATTATGATTAAGTTCTCGATATACCACATCCCTTCCCCTTTATCACAAACTGCAGTCTATCTGGGGGACGTCGAATTCTACTGGACAGACGCAAAGGTTGTGACACTGCTGGTTTGTTTGGTAACCTAGTTGTATCAGCAGCAGGACCGGTGGATGGAACATTTGGTAAAACTTTCGGCTTGGAGGACGATACTGACTGATCTACCTGGTGGCTATTATCTTTGGATAGTTCTGGAACTCTTATCAGGGTCTTTGGAAATCACGAGAGCTGGAGGTGGACGTATGAACCCCTAATCTGTTATGGTTCCTCCATTACGCATTTGATCGACATGTCGCCGCCATAGTTGACCATCTACATTTATGGTGTAATGAAGCTGACCATCCTTAAATTGGAAGGTTCCAAATCTCCATCGTCTGTCACCTTGTCGATAATTTCTCACTTCTACTTTATCGTCAACTCTAAATCCTCGGTCTACAAACTCGCAGGTTCATTTTCGAACTCTGTCTTTTGAGATCTGGTCTCAATAAATCTATTCTTGTTCGAATTTCCCTCTTCAGCATTAGAATTGCAGGACTCTATAGCGTGGTTAAATTCGGAGCTTTTCTATATTGCATAAAATATGTACTGAGTTTTTGCCTCAAATTTCCCGGATAATTTTGCATGTTTATGAAAGATTGTTTCACTGTAAACACATACCATTCAGCCTGCCTGTCACTAGATGGTTTAAATGGTTCAGAATATTAAACTATATGCTACTTTATTATGTACAAAACACATTCAATATGTATACATATGCCGTCATGATTTAAATTTAATGTAATGAATTAACTTTTTCTCAATACCAATAAAAGAATTAACATGATAATAATATATCGTGTCAATTATCCTAACCGGAAACACAAAAATTGCCAACAGCAGCTATTTATTTAGAATGCTGACATTAACGAAATATTTTCGACATACATTGACGTCACAAACAATCGTGTGTTTTCTTCAATGTTGAAATCGAGGAGTGGTAATAATTTTCGAAATAAAGCAAAATTTTATCTCCAGCTCATGAAACTGTTGTCACTCGGAAAAATAAGTGCGAAAATTAGCGTTTTCAGAATTTTTAACTGAAATCTCGGCTGATTAAAATCGTTCGAAGATGAGAATGATCGAAATGGCTTTGTATGAATTTTTGGAATCCGGGGGGGGGGTTACTTCTGTCGAAATTTAACTCCCTGCCGTTGCGGAGGAGATAATGTCAGCAAACAATTGCAAGAAAAGGGTTTGAGTGTTACACTAGCCTTAAAGGCAATAAGTAACTTAAAAACATTCATTGAAGAATGAATGGCTTTCTTGCGAAAGGTTTAGGATAAAATTTATACGTGTTTCAAATTTTCAAATTATTTCTTTAATTCTTCACTTTAAATGAATTTTTTAACACTTTTAGCTATAGTTTGAGATCATTTAGCTGTCGAAAATTAGAACGAAACATAGAAACTGTTTAAGGAATATTTTCTGATATTTTACATATGAAGTTTAGTCATACTGAACATTGTCAGCAATATTTATCTCCTGTACTTTTAAAATTCCTCGCATACTTTGTTAATATCTACTTACTTTAATTACTTTTATTACTTCTACTATATTAATTGTAAAAAATATGTGTGACTTAAATTTTCTATAATTAAATTATACACCTATTTTTTAAATACTTTGAAATTTATAGCAATTTATACAATATTTAAAATTAAAGGAAATTCCGAAACTATTCCATTTATCAGAAATATTCGCATTAGTAAAACCTCTTTTCTCTCTCATAACGTCTAACTGTTCTTAAAACATCAGCCAGCTTAGAGCATTTTGGAATAAAATTAAGTATATTAAGAAAGTATTTAAAAATTTCAGAATATAAGTCAAATAAATTAGAACATTTAAAAATCTACTACAGTAAGAAGTTTCTGAAATTTAAAAAACAGAGAAAAATCTAATCTAAATTAAGAAAGACAGCAAAATTTCATTTAGGCATATTTAGTTAGTCGTAGGTCAATGAATCTTCCTTTATGAATGTGATAAATCTTCCTTTATAAATGTGATAATGTGATAAAAGTTCTAATTGTTTTAGTAATTTATCTGAAATTCAAAGTAATTAAACAGATTTGTACAGATATAAAATTTGTAAAATATAGTTGCTTGAGGGGTCAGTCGTCTAAAATGGTTATAAAAAATAAATAGTGTTTAATGATTTCAATGAATCTATGCAATGAATAGCAATGTAAGTGCGTAATGAATAGCAATAGAAATGTATTTATTTCTTTCAAATCGTTTAGTGTTTTAACGTCATAGATTATATTTGAAAGAAAGTTAAACATCTTACTCTTTGAAAAAAAAATTATTTAAGGGAAAGGCAACATATTTTTTTTAATAGCTGAGTTTGTGATTGAACTTCAAACATACATATCTTACGCATCGCCGAGTGTCAATACATTGATTTAAATTCTTCATATTTGCGAATCGAAAGTTCATTAAGTTCGCAGAAAAAATTAAAAAAAAAAAAAAAAAACCCTCAAAGGTTTCAGATTTAAAAAAAAAAAATCTGAAATGTTTCAGATTTTAAATTACGTCCAAATTAAATTACGTTTTTATTAACGTTTTGTGCGTTATCTTTATTTGTTAAACATCATGTTCCTTCGTACTTAAACCATAAAATCCAATTCAACAGGAATATCGCAAATAGTTTTAAATGAGCATATCTTTAGAATTTCCGATACAAAAACTCACGCGCCGGAGATAAAAATGTTTTTTGTTTTTTTCTGCATACGTTGCCATTGCTCGCTTTGAAAATCCTTGAGTTTGTTAATCAAAAATTCGTCAAAGTTTTAAAAAATAGGAAATCGATCATAAAACAAATTTCAAATTTCAAATTTGGTCTTCCACATGCTCATATTCGTTGGAGGATTACGTTATTCAAATTCGATGACTCTATGTACCGTTGTTTTATCACAATACGAGAAATATACATACATTTATGCAGATTTTTCATTATTTAATTTCTTCAAATATAATGCACAGGACTCTAACATTTTTGTGGCAACAGTTTGAAAAGTGAACCGACATTTATGAGTCCGACGCAAAATGCCAAAACGAAACTAATAGTCCTTCGGGATTCAAATCCCTTTGGACTAATTACATCCAAAGAGGCGTTTTTTTAAACATTTTGTCTGTTACCTTCATTTATTAACTATCACGTTCTTCGCACTTAAACCAAAAAATTCAGTTCAAGAGCAATAGCGCAAAATAGTTTTAAATTGAGCATACCTTTAGAATTTCCGATAAGCAGTCTCACGCGCTGGTGATAAAAGTTTTTTTTCTGTACAATGTTGCCATGGCTCGCTTTGAAATCCTTGAGTTTGTTAATTAAAATTTTCTTTAAAGATTTACAAAATATGAAATCGGTAATAAAACAAATTCTAAATTTCAAATTTGGGCTTCTACATGCCCGTATTTCATGGAAGGTAGCTTTGTTTTATCACAGTGCGAGAAACATACATAAATTCATGAAGATTCTTCATTATTTACTTAAGTATAATACAGGGGCGATAATATTTGGTGGCAAC